TAAAAATGTAAATCTTCAGTTCCCGAGGACTCTAAAGCTATGGTAGTCATCAAACACACTGGCGGCCATTTTCGTGCTAATTTTACCTCTGAAACCCACCTCTTTGAATCCTAAATATTTCGACTTTAATTCTGTATAGTTGGGTACTTTTTTTTCTTTAAAAGCAAGACAAATGAACAAGGTTTTAAGACAATATCCATAACCCCATATGCCCAAAAATTTACGAGCGCGCTGATTCCACCGCGTATATTGACACAATATAGATACGTTATATCACAGAAAGTGGGGGACGGCGATCGCACATCAGGGACACACTACTCCAAACTGTGATAGACCTGTGATCTGGGTTGTCTACCTTGGAGTGATGACGCAAGTTCAGACGTTCATGTTCGAAGTCAAGTGTGTCCATATCACACATCCGGCTTCTTCCCTCCGCGTTATGGTAGCGGTATCAGTGGAAAGACCCTCGGCGACATTTTGGAGAGAGCAACGGAGCATCACTGGGCATGTCTGGAGTGCTGGGATGTTGTTTCCTGAAACAATGAACAATAAATATTGTGGCGGAAACGACACAAGGCAAAGTTGTCCTTAATGGTGAAACTAAAGATGGAACTCCGGGGAAAGCGAAACCAGCACTGACTGTCCATCTCATCTCATCTCGTTGTACATGAAGACGTGTCATTTGTTTCCTTGCGCTGTTTTCTAGTCACAACATTGATAAATTCCTTCTTTCAAAGTCATGTATTTTCGTCACTGTTAATTTGGATCCATCTTTGTTATACCATTGCTCTTACTGTAATTATTTGCTACTCTCTTCCCATGTACAAAAAGGTCTGCTTCCCCCCGCTTCTGTTTATGGCATATTATAAATTATAATATTATTGTTCTCATCCATCCTGGTGAGTATTCAAAAACCGTTTTCTTATGTACCTCTGATATTTTAATGTAAAAACTGAAATGTTTTCAAGTGAGCGAAAATATTGAATTGTTTGTATGTGTGTGTTTGTCTCTGTGTGTGTGTGTGTGTGTGTGTGTGTGTGTGTGTGTGTGTGTGTGTGTATGTGTGTGTGTGTGTGTGTGAATGTGTATATTTTATGTATTGGTGAGTTTGTATTACTATGTGAGTTTGTGTGAGTGTTTAACTTAGTTGAGGAGATTTGAAGAATAAACAGTCAGAGAGAAAGAGCAAAGTCGGTTATTGAGCAGAATGATAGAAAATGCAAGTGGAGAGAAATGAAAAGTGTGGGTAGGGCTCAGCTGTTGTATGTGTTTGTAATTGACGTTTACCTTTGTTTAGTTTCATGATTTTACTGTTCAGCTATGATAAATTGGTTGCTTCTAAGGACAAGCGGGCTAACCCAGATTTCGGACATTTTCAGAAATCTTGACCTACATCAAAAATTGGCATTGCCCTACCTATAGGAAAAGTTTGGTTTCGCTGGTGTGTATATTTGTTTGGTTATAGAGAAAACTCTTCTGTCTTTTAAAGAAACTGAATAAGGGTCCAAAAACTATAACTTCGATTTTCTCAAAAGATCATTTTGCGAGATAGCCCCCTTGTGCTTAAAAGCGACCAATTAAAATAGTGCTCGCTGGGAGAGAGGAAAAAATTACAAGCATTGTGCTTTTTTCTGTTTTCCCAAGTTCTATATGTCACTGATTTTTGCAACTTGATGTGTTTCGTATAGTCTCTGAATCTGTTGTGTGTGGTCCAAAACTTTTGGGTATGGATGACACGGGTACATTTCTCTTATTGCAATATTATGTCCGCAGCTTGCGTTAATTAGCTTGTGCATAGCTGGCGCTTTTTAAAAAATCTTGCTCTCCTACACATAACACAAGTAATTAAAATCTGCGAAGCACATTGACAATGTCTTTAAAAAATTGGGAAAGAAGGGTTTATTGTGTAAATTTCATGCTTTTGCAAGATGAAAAAAAAACATAATTGTTTATCATACTGTGTAATATTATTTTAATTATTTCGAATATTAGTGGCAGTAGAAACGCTTACGATCTTTTTGTTAATAATCTAAACTTTTATTTTAAATTTTCAGCTTGATTAGTTAATTGTTCTCTTATTAGATAAGTTTTCGCTCCGAGCAAATTATTTATACCTCAAAACATACCCGTTTTGCTCGAAGATTCAGCCATAATTATGTTGATGTTATATCATGCCATTTTTAAGGTCCTGCGCAAAAGTCACTATAATGTATACAAGACGTGGTCGTCACGTTTTATAGATTCGAATTGCCCGCCAATTTTTGCATCTCTTTTTCTACTTCTTTTGATAGCCATGAGCTTTTACTTGGTACAGTCTGCTTATCCTTGTGAAGGGTAAGCTAGTTTTTGTCCAGGTATTTAGAGATGAATCGACAGCTCTGGTCAATAAGCACTATCACTCCTTTACCTAATCGTCCGAGGACGCAGCCTGTGCGAGAAAAGTGGTAGATTTCCAGGTGTTTTTCACGAAGAGTTGATCGTAGATATAATCATTATTCTTGTTAAAATTTGTCACCGCATTGGAAGCTGCCGAAAAATGGCTTTTAGTATAGCTGTGAAATTACGTTCCTAGTTTAAAGGCGATTTTTGCTTTATACAAACAATATTAAAATGTTTTATACAGCAACTTTGCCAGGGCCTACTTTCACCCAAGTCTAACATATTTAAATGATTAAACTGGCACTGACCACAAAAATGTCTAAACCTTCCCCACAATAGACCCGTATTAACATTTGAGAATTCTTATTTTGAAGTATCCAATTTAGACACGTCACTTTTTGCAGATATAGAGACATACAATTGATAGAAAACTATGTTTTGTATAGAGTTTGCGTTAGACAAGCCCCTCCTTGTCTTGGACTCTCCTATTGTGGATAGTATGCAATGCAATATAAAAGTTAAAATGCATAAATATTGCTTTGTAAAAATCACAAAAACAATCCCATATTTATTAAAAGCTTCCTCACAATAAATTTAAATAATCATCAGACGTCTTGGAAAAAGATCGTATTCGTCCAGAAACGTACGATGAAAACTTTCAGTTTTGAGGCTTTTATAAACTTATAGTTGTTTTATCATTTCCTCAACATGTTTATTCTCTTGCAGACTCAAAATTTAACTCATACTGCATTGCAAATCTATGAATCTGAGCTCATTATTTGAGGGTGTGGAAATTGTAATATTCTCTTCAGTAAGTAGCTGCACGCTTCCCACACATGCTATTTTTGTGACGGTTCTTAGTTTAGGTTTTGGATGGGGGTTTGGGGGGTTCTTGGTTGTTGTTTTTTTAGGGGTGGGGTTTTTTTGTTGTTTTTTTTTTGGGGGGGGGTGGGTAAGTGTTGTGCAACTCTTGCATCTGCATAAGGCCAAATGAGCACGCGGGACACATTACGTTTTCAGTTGGTAAGAAATTTTGAATTTTGCCCTAGTGGCAACCGAGGCCTACTCTTATCGATTTTCGACCAACAGGGGATCTTTAACGTGTGCAACTTGCACATGGGTCCTCCGAGATTTTTCGTCCTTATCCGAGAAGGCTAGGTGTAGATCTTTCCTTCCGTAAGATCAGGGGTGTGGATGAAGTAAGAGGAGACAACGAGTAGCCGTAGAAAGTCTGCAGAAAGAGTCAGGAGCCCAGAGAAGAGGGCGAAGGAGGTGAGGGGATGGAGGCAGAAAGTGGAGATGAAAGTAGACGACAGATCTTTGTTAGAGCTGAAAGAGTGTGAAAGGAGAACATTTTATAGAGGAAAACTTTCCTTGGCTATCCAGATTCGAACCCAGATCATATTGAATGAGAGGCGAATACCTTAACCTTTAGACCACAAGAGCCCCCTTCTTAGTTAAGTGAATATTCTTTCTTTTTTTTTTTGAAATACTGTATTATCCAAACAATGGTACCCGATACAAATTCCACATTTCGAATTAATAGTCACAATTAAGTAGGCTCTCAACAGAGTAATATGGATATGCCCCCCACTCCCCTAAAAAAAGACAACTTATTATGCAGTTTCAATTACCACAAATTCTCAAGCAATGTTTTTTGTGTGTTGATAGCGGGGGTCGTTATAAAATCCACATTATGTTTTTTCGTTAAAATATATATATATATATAAACTTGTGTTTCAGCACAGTCTTATGAGATTATAGACTTTTTAGTGTTTGTAATGAAGCAAATTTACTGCAGCAATTTTTTTCTGCCTTTGGGGGGTCTCTAACGTTGAAAACCGCACATAAAAGTGTTTTGCTTTTCAAGAAAGGAAACTTTACTTGCTCTCTCCTCTCCTCTCGGGAAAATCATAAAAGACATAATATAATGATAATAATAGTTTCAACTTTAAAACAATGGCGGAGCTGTGACGCGACAGCTGAACTTAATCAGCGCCGTCCTCACACTATGCGGTGACTCACTTTTAGCAATTTCAACTAGATGCTAGTCCATTGCCTTACAATAGAAAGAAAGACTCAATTTATAGCGAGCAGTTGTTCGAGTGAAGACCAGCTCTTCGTCTTCATGAAAATGGCATTTATTTGTTGCGTGTCTTTGCTGATTACAGTCCTCCCTCAAACTCTACCATTGGATAACATAATATTCAATTACGTCGTGTTTTACAATCGTATCCATACGACGGGGGGAACTCTATGCCACCACTTTCCAAAGAGGAAATTTACTCGTTAATCTGATCCGTACGCTTTATATAGCAGTCTGTCAAAAATGATTTTTTTTTAAATACTGAAAGTTTCAAAGAAATCTTCGTCCTAGAAGTATTCTAAAAGGTGAAGAATACAACCCCTGGGGTATAAAATGGCCACAGGGCGGGATAGGGTTAACAAGGCTATTTAGTTGCCATTGGGTTTCGGAGCTCGTGAAGAGGCCAACAGTGGCGATGTAATAATCAAATCTCTATGAGGTGAACTATGACTACAAGTTTTCTGTTTCATTGTTGTCGGGACGTTTATTGTGTATGCACGTAATTTTCAAACTCTTTAATTAATATCTGATGGAA